CACACACAATGGTACCCTCGATATTTTGTATTTTGACGATTTTTGGGGACATTATTCATCATCATTGTTTTAAATTTCGTATATAGAATTCCTAATGGGTACTACAGCCCATGACGAAAAATTGCGTGTGCAGGCCCACGACTTCGTGTAGCTCCCATATAATGGTATCTCTCGATATTCGGTATTTTGATGATTTTATGGACATTATTCAAAGGAATTGTTTCAAGTTTGGTATTTGATGTTCGTAATGGACGCTACAGCCTATGACAGGAGATGATCTGTGTAGGTCCATGTCTTCGTATAGCCCCCACATAACGATACCTCCCGATATTCGGTATTTTGATGATTTTAGCGACATTATTCAGCAGAATTGTTTCGAATTTGGTATTTCAAGTTTGTAATGGATACGACAGCCTATGACAGGAGATTGTCTGTTCAGGTCCACGTCTTCGTATAGCCCCCATACAACGGTACCTCCCGATATTCGGTATTTTGATGATTTTAGACACATTTTTCAATGGTATTGTTTGAAAATTCACACAAGAAGTTCATTATCAGTACTTTACCCCCCGGAGGAAAATTTTTTATATAGGTCCACGATATCAAATATCCCTCATATAACGATATCTACGATATTCGGTATTTTGATGGTTGAAGCCAAATTTTTCGATTGAATTGTCTGAAAATCCACACAAGGAGTTCCTTCTGAGTAATTTACCCCTGAAGGAGAATTTTTATATAGAAAAACGATATCTTCAAACCCCCACGCAACGGTAACCCCCCCCCCCCCCCTCCATATTAAGTATGTTGACGATTTTATCGACATTTAAGTTCGTAATGGATACTGCAGCCTATGACAAGAAATTGTGTATGCAGGTCTACATCTTCGTATAGCCCTCATATAACAATATCTCCTGACATTCGAAATTTTGATGATTTTTTAAATATTATTCACCGGAGTTTTTTCAAATTTCGTATTTGAAGCTCGTATCAAATTTACTCAAAGGAACCTAATTTTTTTACTATTATAACTAGATTTATTGAATCTATACAAATTCCATATTTTTTTTTTTTCTTCTGCAGAGACCATTTTAAACAATAAACCACAAAACTTTGAAATACACTTTTATTTGTTTCAACTGAAAAAAACTTTGTCTTCAACTTATTTATTTATTTATAAAAAAAAATACCAGACTTGTATTGGTTTGATAATGTGAGCGACGGTTGGTTGTAATTTGCTTACAAATCCAATCTAGGTATGTAAAATGAAAACCAAAAAGTAAATTGATTTTGAGGTTTTGATTGAGAAAACAGATGTAAGAACAACAAAATGAAATAAATGCTCAAGTGGTTGTTTTAAATTGAGCTTCATTTCAGGGAATTTGGTTTGCCCCTGAGATGTTGGAGAATAAACATTCAATATACCCGAAAAAAAAAAACAGCAGGCAACCGCAAATAAGAGAATGGGTGTAAGCAATTAGTCTGTTTGTATATTATATTTGCAGTTCAATTGAACCTTATGGGAAGATTGGACACACACATATACATATATATTGTGATTTCACTTCACCGCATCACAACAAAGCAGAACATTTAGACAGAAAGCTTTACAAAGTTATGTCGTATTTGATATAAATTAGGGAATTAGAGTTTAGTTATTTAAGCCTGATTAAAAACTGGAATATTTGTGCCCCATTAAAACGGGACTACTGCATTTTAGTAAAATATTCGGATTAGTAAGGATTTCTAAAGAAATATTAAATATGGCCCACGAAAACAAACACCATAAAACTTTAAATATTTGTTATGTATAAAAAATTAAATTTGTAGAAGCTGTGAGAAAAACATACATTTTTCTAGCAAATTTGACTGAAAATATGAGAATTAATTTAATTTTTTTTTCATGGTTACAAAATTATATTTGTATTCTCATGAAAAGAAATACCTTTGTAAACATTCAAAAAATATATTAGATATCAGTTTTGACAGGACAATTTGCTAAAATTTCAAACTCAACTAACAATTTACTAATACAAGTGCAAAGGGTAACCGTTTAATTGTTCTAAGAAAATTGTGAAACTTAATTAAATACTATCCCGGAGGGCGTAGAAACTGCTAATGAGCCGGTGAATAAAAAACAATGTACATTTATAAAATTAATTTAACACTGTTGAAGGGTATGCATTTGTTTACAAGCAATGTGAGAAATAGCAACGCCCACATAAAAATATTTTTGAAATTTGACTTACTCTAAGCTACCCACATCTTTAGGAATAATTAAAATGTCATAGTTTGGAGTAAATATACTGTTTATCTAAATTTCTACTACAATTCGTGGAAATATTTTCAACAATTTAAGAATTGTTATGAGTGTAGGTCAAATAGTTTTTTTATACCCTACAACACTATGTGTTGGGGGTATTGCAAATTTGATTGGGCCAAAAATTATCTAAAGCCTCGAAATATTGGTCCAAGACGTATGATGTCATATATGGATCTTTCTATATCGCAGAGCTGAGTTGATCTAGATAGGTGAGTCCACCCGTCCGTCCGTCCATTTTAATTTGTAATCTTGCTACAGGTCGCAATTATGGCCCGATCCTCCTAACGGATATATAGCAAAATATAAAATTTAAGAAAATGGCGAAAAAAAACATACCAATAAAAATTTAATATTTTTTGTTACATTTTTTAAATTTTTGTTATATATTTTATCGGATATGGATTTTCCTATCAAGCCGAGCTGAGCTGATCTAGCTGTGTTTGTCCTCCTGTCTGTCTCTCCGTCTGTCCATGTTTAATGGTAATCATGCCAGAGGTCGCAACTAATGCCCGATTAATGTCTATACTGTTTGGAGATGAGCGCAAAATATTTAGGGGTCGAAATTGGCCAAAAAAGAAACATTTCCTGTTTTTGCAGTTGTTCTATAGACCAATCGATTCGCATTTGTAATAAATTTTCACCTCACAACAGTATGTGTTAGTTGGATTAGAATCAGAAGGCTTTTGCTTTACAAGATTTTCGCAAAAAAATACGGTTTAAAATTGACTAAAAAACTAAAAATTGTCCAGATTTTGCAGTCGCTCTACAGTTCTCAACTAAGAACCAATAGACATGGTATTTGTTATAAGGTTAGAGTTTAAGACATCGCTGGAGCCTAGTATTTTGAATAATCTTTGGATTGGTGAAATATGTGAAAATATACCAAAATTAATTAAAACACAAATACATGAAAGGTGCGCCTCTGGCCTTTACATTGATGCTGATTTCGAAAAGTACAGTTCGCATTTATTGCCCGATCCAGATGGAATTTTGCGAAGATCAATTGTTTGGCCCAAGGACCCTATTGAAATTGGAGATAATCGGTCAAAATTTAGATATAGCTCCCATATATATCTTCGTCCGATTTGCCTTTTATTGTGCACCAAACGTGTAATATCAGTCCGAATTGTATGGAATTTTGCATATACACCCAAATTAGTCCTCAAAATAAGTATACTAAATTTGATCGAAATCGGTTCAGGTATAGCTTTAGCTCCCGTATATATTGTTCATCCGATTTGTTATTTTTGTCCTCCGCAGCTGTAATATGCACAATATTTGGGAAAATATATCAAATACAGTTCAGAAATACATTTGCTAAAATTTAACGAGATCGGTTCAGATTTGGATATAGCTCCAATATATAACTTCGTCCGATTTACCTTTGATTGTGCACCAAAACGTCTAATATTTGTCCAAATGGGATGGAATTTGGCACTTACGATATAGATATAGCTATAGCTTCAGATATAGCTTCCATATATATTGTTCATCCGGATTGTTATATTTGTTACCCACAACCGTAATATGCACTCCGTAACAACGATATTCAGGGAAATATATCAAATACAGCTCAGAAATATCTTTGCCAAATTTTATCGAGATCGGTTCAGATTTGGGTATAGCTCCCATATGTATTTTTATTCGATTTTAAATTATTTGTGCACCAAATGGGCAATACAGTCCGAATTTAAAAGATACAAATGCTTCGGCATATTTGGTCCTTTGAACTTTCACGGCGTTCGAAATAATGTCTTAACCTCCAAAGATGAGTGACCGATTTTAACACCCTCCATCATAGTATAGTTGAGGCCAATTTAGATCGACGTTTTGGTATAGTCCTCATATAACTGTTCCAAAAGATTTAAAATGTTTTGGGCGTTTTAGTCACGATTGTCTTCCCAGTATTTACGAAAGATCCTTGCAGAGAACCATCTTAATAAATCGAACTTTTGGAATATTCCCATAAATCCCAATACTTTCACGATTTTAGCCACACTTTTCACCGGAATTGTCTTTAAATTGGATGCTTGCAGATAGTAATAGGCGCTCACTTCCTGGTATAGCTCCCATATAACTGTACCTCCCGATATCCAGGATTTTTAAGATTTTAGCCAAATTCTAAAGTAGAAATTGGGTTCGCACTGTCTACTCCTTCCAATGACAGAAACTTATCTATATAGGTCCTCATTTTCACATCACATTCATATAACTATACATCTATACATTCAAGATTTTAGCCACATTTTTCATTGAAATTATTTCACATTTAATGTTTGGAATTCACAGTTGGAACTTTCTGCTATAATAGAAAAGTGCCTATACAGGTCCACGGTTTCTTTCATTTTAGATTTTTAGCAAATTTAATAAAATGGAAGAAGAATATCACTGATAACATTTACATAATACATTTGTTAAATTTACATCACTTAATTTTTGTGGAAATTTGGATTATTTGCAAAATATTTAATCTCGAATTTACACTTTTAGTAAGAGCTTACTTATGAAATTCATTAAAGGTCCATTTTTCTACTGTGGAGTAAATATTTGTTTATTAAATTTTTTTATTTATTTATTTGTTTTTTTTTTTTTTTTTTTGCCTAAACTCTGTTGTGATCTGCTACATACGTTTATGTATTTCATGAATTGTTAATGTAAAGGCCAATAAAAAACTTACATTATTTAATTTGCAGCTTAAATCCTTTAAAAATCCAGTTTTTAATACTTTGTTGTAAAGCAAAAATTTCGTTTTAAATTAACTACACATGTATGCGTTGGTATTTCAATTTTTTTTTTTCGCTTTAACTTTGAGCAAAAACACTTGATGTTAATTATTATTATTATATATATATATATATATTTATATGTGTATATCCTGCAATGATTGTTGTTGCTACTGCATGTGGTTTATTCAATTGGATAACATTTGTCAACGTATTTTTGTTATTGTTGTTGCACTGTTTTTGCTATTGGTATGTTGTATGCCACACAATGCAGGTCAATTAAATGTGCATTAAAAAATATACATGTGTGTGTGCACTATTTTTAAAATATTTATGGTTGTTATTTTTTACAATTTTTTCTTTGAGAGCAATTAAACGTAATTTGTTCAAATTTAAATTTTAAATTTATTTTCCAAGTAATAGGAAATATATATAATTTACGAAACACATTTATTGTAGAGATTACTTGTTTCAATATTTTTTTTATAAAAAAGTAGTTTTGTTGCTACACATATTTACTATGCATTTTTTTATGCGGGTTTCAAATTTATATATCTTACTTTGCACTTTAGATTAACATACTTTTTTCCACAATTTTTATTGAATTTTTTCCTCCTTTAATTTATTTTCTTGTTGATTTGTTTGTGTACATGTGTCTAACAAGGACTTGACAGGCAAACGCCGAGCAACACGTTGTTGACACAAAGACCGCCTAACAAAGACTAATATCACAAGACAACACGCGACAGGCTACATTCAAAACACGCAATCAAAAATGTGTGCTCTTTTGCCAGGAATAATCATAACAGAACTACCAATCAGCCGACCGAACGAACATTTGTACTCATAAAACACAATCACCCTCACTTTTGTGTGTTTGAGTTGTGATACTCTCCGTATGCCGTGCCACAATGCTTGGTCGTTGATGCTACTCCAGTCGTCGAATCAACATCACAACCACCCAAAATTATTGCATTTAGTTCAAAGGAGCAGATTGCCGTCGCCAATGTGTGTACCAGGGGTCGTGCACGTTGTTGCACTGATGATATGCCTGCTACTGGCTGGTCCGGTTGGTCTGATGTTGATAATAATAAAGATGATGATGTTCCCATTGAAATATCATGCAAGTCAGTGAAGAAAAAACACAAGTGCGCTCATACGCACACACACACACAAAGTGTAAACATAGGCTAACTGGGGTTTCCAATTAGCAGCAAAACATCATAATTTTTCCTCTCTCAAAACTCCCACTCATACTTTTCCACATAATTCTCTTTGCTCTCATGCTTTTTAACATTTTCGGAGTAAATGTTTTGAATGAAATTCTCATTTCTCAACAGTCTCATATGAATTATGGCCGAAAGTTTTATGAGATTGAAAGGCGAGATAGATAGAGAGTGAGAGCAACAGGATTATATTTGCCAAAAAGTTACATTTGCCTCATTCATAAATGCATGTTCATTTTAATGTCTACCTTTCAATTGTTCAGAAGCCACAATTTAATTTGTCAACAAAAAAATCTGTTTCACTATTTACTTTTCTCTCTTTCGGAGTTTACATTTCAAGTGTTCCTTCTCTTCTCATCATATCCTTTGAGATAATTTTCTCTGCTCCCAATATTCTCTGTCTACTTCAGTGCGCATTTCATTCATCTCTCGAATTTCTCTTTCGTTTATCGTCTTCTTTCACTTTCCTCTTGTTTTAAAAATTCTTTGACATTACTTTCTCATTCCAGATTTTTATTGTTTTCGTGCTCCCAGCATGTTATAACGTGTGTTTATATTATAACTTCCTTTTAGCGTGCGTAGACCCCGATTTTCACGAGAGAACATGTGTGCTGCGTTTTGTATTGGGAATGGGTTTTTATTTGTTTGTTTTTGTTTATTCACTTGTTGGTTCATTTTGGATGTTATTAGAGGTGTTCTTTGGTCTACAAATCTCTACCATTACACTAGCATACAACAAGTAAAAAAGCACCTAACACCCTCCACCATTTTAAAAGATCTTGAAAAATTTCCGAAAAATTTCGTAGAAAAATACTGCTCAAAGCAAAATCGTAATATAGGGTCTATACGATGACGTGGTCCTGCATTATTAATATTTTGTCATAGGCTGTAGTAGCCATTACTAACTTTAAATTCGAAATTTGAAACAATTTCGGTAAAAATGTCACTTATATCAAAATACCGAATAAAGGGATGTACCGTTATATGTGGGCTATACAAAGACGTGGACCTGCATGGACAATTTTCCGTCATTGGTTTCACTCATTACGAGCTTCAAGCTTTAAATACGAAATTTGTAACAATTACTACCAAAATGTAGCTAAAATCATCAAAATACCGAATATCAGGAGGTAGCGTTATATGGGGTCTACACGATATCGTGAACCTATCTCCTGCATAGGTAAAGTATTCAGAAGGAACTCCTTGTGTGGATTTTTAGACAATTCCATAGAAAAATTTGCCAACAATCATCAAAATACCGAATATAGGGAAGTTCGTTATATGAGGGATATAGGATATCGTGGATCTTTATAGACAATTCTCTACCAGGAGTAGAGTATTCAGGAGGAACTCCTTGTGTGGATCTTGAGACAATTTCATTGAAATATGTAGCTAAACTCATCGAAATACCGTTATGTGGTGTATTTTCAATACCAAAAGTCCTGCAGATATAATATACATTTGAGTAAAATTTTATCAATCTACTTTAATTCGTTCGGAAGCTAAAGTGATTTCCACAGACGGACATTCGGATAGACGGTCGGACAATGCTAAATCGACATTGAATTTTATGCTGATCAAGAATATGTATATACTTTGTGGGGGTCTAAAATGAATATTGCTAGGTGTTACAAGCGGAATGACAAATCTAATATATACTCCATACTATGGTGGAGGGTATAAAAATGGTGTAGGGTATTATCTGGACGGCGCCATCCTTCCTTTATTGGATTATATTTTAATCAATAAAAATAACAAATTATAAAAAAATGAAACATATTCAGTTTTTCAGAGCAGTCAAGAAAACTTGTCAATGAACCTAGCAAACGAAATAACTAAGGCACAACTCTCTTTTCGTCCCTGTTATTCGTGTGTACATCGGCTTTTTTTGTTTGTCATACTCAAATATTTTTATTCACAGAGTTTTCCGGGAGAGTATAATTTCATCGGTCAACCAGGATATGTGTATGTTGAATTTTGCAACAGGTTCTTGTTTACATGCAACACGCAATCTCTTTTACGAGTTATACATAAAAACACATGCATATGTATGTGAACATACTTGGGCATTCTAATTGAGGATGTGTCTCAGTGGAGGTTAGAACTTTTGTGCAATACTCGATGTACTCCTGTGATATTAAGAGGATTATTATGTATTTTAAATTACATACACTTATAAAGTGAAATTTTCATTTCAAAGGGAATGGAGGTGAACAAATGGTTTCCAAAGAAAGAGGTAAACATTGGAAAGAGTTGCGAAATAGATTCAAAAAAGAATTGTTTTAAATTTGGGATGTAGTTAATTAAAATATACAAAAAAAATCTCCTTAAAACAAATCTAATTTTTAAACGCTCCACCATATTAGGGATGGTATATTAACTTCATCATTCCGTTTGTAACTTTTCGAAATACTCATGTCAAACCCAACAAAGTATATATATTCTTGGTCAGCGTAAGATTCTAGGTCGATTTAGCGATGTTCTTCCGCCTGTCTGTTGTAATCACGATATTTTTCGAACGAATTGAAATAGAAAGCATACATTTAGCACACATGTGTATTTTGTCAGCAGACAGGTTAAGCCTAAAATGGGTAATATCTGTCCACGCTTTCGTAAAGCCCCTATATAACGATGCCTCCTGATATTCGGCATTTTGATGATCTTAGCGACAATATTCACTGGACTTGTTTCAAATATCGTACTGGAAGATGTTAATGAATGTTACAAGCTATGACAAAAAAACTAATTATTAAGGTCCACCCCTTCATATAGCCCCTACATAACATTACCACCCAATATTCGGTATTTTTATAATATTAGAGACATTATACACCGGAAATATTTCAAATTTCGTATTTAAAATTCATAATGGGTACTACAAAAATTTGCGTATGTCCACGTCGTCATATAGCGATCATAAAACGATACCTTCCAAAATTCGGTAATTTGGTGATCTAAAATCATTTGCTTTTTAATGAAAATTTTACTACATTTTTACACAAAATAAAAGGTCCATTTCAGCCTCTAAACATTATCCGATGCCCATCGAAATAGTAATCATTCTACAGGTCGCAATTATGGCCCGATCTTCACGAAAATTAGAATGGAGAGCCTATTGCTTTTGATCGCATATTATTTAGGGGTTGAAATGGATCAAAAACTGAAAAACGTCCTGATATTACAGTTGTGCCACAACTCGCAATTACAGACCAATCGACGCGGAAGTTAGCATGGGGCTAGAGTTTAGGGCTGGTCATCGGGTAATATTTAGTAGGTGAAATAGACCATAACATTTGTTTTAAACAAAAGTCAAATTTTCCATTAAATCGCGAATATTTTTAATACCGGCGAAATCACAAATAGATGAAAAGGTCAAATCTGACCGTTCCGTGAATGCCGATAGTAACAATATCGGATATATATAGCGAAATATATACCATGTGTATATACAAAGGAAAGGGATGTTAGCTAGAATGCTAATATCTCAAGAATGGATGGACCGATTTTGACAAATTTTGTCAATTTAGAATACCCTCTTGGCATAAAAGAATAATATTTTGTGAAGTTTTTTTTTTCATTTTTTCATATTTTTAACGCATGTGTTTTTTTTTTTTATTGACTTATAATATTGAAGTGTATATTTTGTAATATTTTTTCACCTTACAACACAGGTTGGGGTTAATATATAGAGATTGCAATTATCGTCCGATCCTCACGAAAAATTTCACATTTTCACGAATTTTCGCATGAATTTAGAGTTTAGGACAGCGGGTAGAATGGACAACTACTTTTGTGTGAAAAAATACCAACATTATTTACAGACGATATCCGAAATATACAAAAGGCAAACTTCTTGTTTTTATACCCTCCACCATACATAGTATGGAGGGTATATTAAGTTCGTCATTCCGTTTGTAACTCATCGAAATAATAATTTTAGACATAACAAAGTATATATATTCTTGATCAGAGTAAAATTATGTCCGTCCGTCCGCCTTTCTGTCTGTTGTAATCACGCTACAGTCAAAACGAATAAAGGTAGGAAGCTAAAATTTTGCACAAATCTGTCTTTTGTCTGCAGGCAGAACAAGTTCGAAGGTGGACTATATCGGTCCACGATATCGTATAGCCCCCATATAACGGTACCCCCAATATTCGGTATTTTGATGATTTTAGCCACATATTTCAACGGAATTGTCTGAAATTCTACACAAGGAGTTCCTTGTGAGCAAGATAATTGTCTATATAGGTTCACCATATCGTGTAGCCCCCATATAACGGTACCCCCGATATTCGGTACTTTGATGATTTAAACCGCATTTCTCAATGGAATTGTGTGAAATTCCACACAAGAAGTTCATTGTGAGTACTTTTCAGACGTAGATTTGTCTGCATAGGCCCCCACACGGAGATTTGTCTGTATAGGTCCACAATATTGTATATCACCCTAATATATCGGCACTTTACAAAATTCGGTATTTTTAAGATTTTAACAGAATTTTCAATGGATTTTTTTTTGGAAAATATCCTAATTCGTTCCAAATGGTGGAGGGTATTCAAAGTTCGGCCCGGCCGAACTTACTGCTTTTTTACTTGTTTATATTGATTTCTTTGACGAATATAGACAAATATCGTAGACAAGCAAATCATATAAATGGGTCTAAATTTGGAGATACAGAGGGGCCTCTTGCTATTGGAGATGATCGCAAAATATTTAGCGGTTCAAATGAACCAAAAACAGAAAAAAATCCTGGTCACACAATTGAAACCAATCGACACGGAATTTTGCATAAGAAGGGAGTTAAGGACAGGGGTGTATTCTAGAATTTTGGATGACCATTGGAATATATTTAGC